ATGAGGACTACATTGTTGACCATTTTCACGATGATCCTCACTGTTTCCATTTTGAGTAACTGCATCTCTTGCATCATCACACAGCCCATTTAGAGATGAAGTTGAAGCGTTCTCTTCAATTTCATTGTCGGAGAAATTACTAACCGTGTTCACAAAGTTACTACTCTCATCTGTGATGTGCGGAATTAGACAGGCCTTTTCAGCTGGATGAGCATTGATCAAGCCTTCCTCAGAGCTCTGCCGACAGGATATTTCACTACCACTTTCATCACTGGCCGCTATTTGTTCCACACACTGTGCTTGTTTGTCCAGTTTGATCAACATGCAGGCATTCTGAGTATCTCCGGTTATATTATTCACGTTAGATGTTGAATACTGAATGCTACTACTACCACCAATTTTCTTTGAGATCCACGCCAGATCAGAAGACAAATCAGTTGAGGTGTGTGACAAACTTCCTTGCAAACTTGAAGGAGATTTTGTCCCTTGCTTTTTGTCCATATTTTCAAGCCTTTTCTTATCATCTAGTACATTTTCATATTCGTCTTGTCCAGGGCTACTTTTTACTCCCGCAAATCTTTCCTGCAATTATGTGCCAGCTGGGTATCAAACTAGCTAAGATTTTCATCACATTGGAAAAGCAACATTATACAACCAACCATTCATGTTAAAATGATGCAAACTTGTACAGAGTGCATTTCATTTAAAATGCTTCGATTCGATAGGTCATGGAACCTCTAACTCTATTGATGCAAACTTGTACAAAGTACATTTAATTTAAAATGCATGCCACGACAGTTTGGAAGTAACATAAAGGAATAACCCCAATCAGATATAAGTGATTCCACAGCAGAAGTTATTAATTAATAGAATAGTAAGCATTGTACCTCTCCTTGAGGTGGTGAGCCATAGTTGGAGCCGTTGGTTGAAGAAGAAACAGGCAATGATAAGTGAGAGGAAACATCATCATCAGTGTATGAAGCAAACTCAGCTTCCTCTGCATATTCTTCACTCAGTAATCTAGAAAGAGATCCATTTCGGTCCATTGATGCTTCTCTTTTCAAGCTGTCCCTCAAGGATGGCCTCACACGACTCCTCTCACCTAGCTGAATTTTCAGGAAAAGAAGGGGCTGTGCTGAGTTCCTGTAAGTTCGCTTGCAGTTAATGGGGGGACATATGCTTAAACTCTCTCTAATAACACCATAATCTGCCAAGTCAATGGTAGCAGTTCCTAAATGCTGACCTTTCACAGTCTTATCACGCCGGGGTTCATACAAGTGGAATTCAATGCAATTCTTTTGATAAGTGTCACCATCTCCACCTTTAAAGAAAGCTTCCCTGAGTAGTGTCACAGGAAGTCTAAAAGACTCATCGAATTCAATTCTTCCGTCACCAATACCAGAACCAGTTCCCAACGATGGCACGACTTGGTTAGTAGATCCAGAGAGCGTATCACCATATTGCCATTCGATTAGAACAGCACGAGGCATATTCAGTGACTGTGAGGCTGGCCAAGGTTTAATCTCCTTAATATGGATTAGATATTCAACTTGAACTGACGGGCTATTCCTAGTCCTAGTTTTCAGTCCCAAAACCATGATTTCAGAAACAAAGATAAGGAATGGTCTTCAATTGGATGATATGAGCCTGCACATAATAAATAGAAAACACATTTTCAAGTTGTATGAAAGACCAAGATATTCCAAACTTAAAAGAAATTTGATTCTATCCAACAACTCAACCTACTTTTGGGAGAAACAATAAATGCCATCTAACATGTATACATTGCAACGCGACCAAGTTAGTCTGAACTTGAAGAATCAAATGATTTCATAGGCTTAGAAACCCGAGTTATTCGTTAACAGTCCTTATGACAGTTTCCATTTACTTGACAGTTAGTTCTAACTTGTGGGTGCTCAAGTCAACTAACTTTATTTTAAAACACATTAAGTAGACAAGACCTCAGAGAGGATAAAAAAGTCAATACAAGAAAAGAAGCTCAAACAAAAATGTACAACATTTGGTCACCAGAAAAAGCATAATGGACAGAGATTGAAGAGCAGAGAAGTAGTAGATTGGCAGACTAACAGAAGAGAATGAGAGTAACCCCATCTCGAATAAAGCAAAAGCGAAGACTAAACAGCTACTCTACATCACAAATTCACAATGTGGCATGAAGTAATAATAACATCAAGATTTCCACTGAAGAAAAATGAAAAAGAAATGACTTACATAAAACATTACACCAGAAATATCAAGATTTTTCCCAGGAGTAAATGAGAAACTTTGCACTTCCATAGAAACATTAAACCAGAAAATCAAATGAATGTGAGAGAAATGCAGGCCAAGATGGTACCTTTTTTATCCCACACAGCAAAGGGATAAATGATTAACTATTCATGAGAGATAAACATGAGAAGAAAAACCCAAAAACCAGGTGGGGGTGTTTGAGTTCTGTGAGTGAGTGAGAAAATACAGAGAAAAAGAATGTCTTTTTCCTATTGGAAAACAAGACCCAAAGGACGAGGGAGGTGGGTTGTCGTGTTCTTGATTACTTTACTCATTTTGGGTTTTAACATTAATGGTCTTTTAAGTTTGTTCAATTACAGAAGAAGCCTGTACATTACTATATTTTATTTTACTCCAAAACAAGAAACACAACTACTCGACAGATGACACTGTCTGCACAAGTAAAAGTGAATGGAAGCGGAATATGTATTAAATTATTTTCATTAAATTGACTGTAAAAAAATGTGTCAGCCACTGATTGCCAGGTGCCAAGCAAAACAAGGTGAGGTAATGACACTGGCAGAGACAAATGTGGACCTGGAGTAAGAGAACCAAACATAAATGTTCGTCCGTGAATCAAGTACTAGTACTATTTTAGTTTGGCTTAAGTCATCTGCGGCCCCTTAAAGCTGTTCGCATAATTCACTTAGACACCTCAACTAAGACTAGTATCTATTGAACACTTTTATCTATCTAAAACATGTTCCTATTAGACCTTTTTCGATAATTAGTAAAAAAAGATAAAGTGTGTGTGATACACTTGCTATGATGTGGCAAAAATAACTAATTAAAAGATGACATGTGTCACTTGACCCCAACAACCATAGATTTTTTTTTATGTTAAAAAGAATGAAAATTATTTCAAATAAATTTTATATCTATTTCTTAATAAAAAATAATGAAATGACAACCCATTTTACTCAACCCCACCCTACCCAACCCCCTTTCTTCTTCATCTTCTTCTCATCAATTTTTTTTCTCAAACCACAAAAACCTTCACTGCAAGTTACTTGCAGATTTGATTTTTTTTTAAAAATATTTTGTATTCCTAATATGTGAGGGAGAAAGATATTCAAAGAGAAAGATACAATAGTGATGAAGAAGTTTGTCAATGGTTACTCATCCAAAAATCGATTGCAAAGAAAAATAGAGAGGACCGAAATTAATTTTATCAAAAAATATTTTTCATTCCCAATACGTGATAGAGAAAGATATTCAAAAAGTCAGTATAAGAGTGATGATGAAAGGAAGTTTGCCAATGGTTAATCACCTTGAAATCGATTGCAAGGAGAAATCAAGAGGACCTAAATCATCTTGAAATCGATTGCAAGGAGAAATCAAGAGGAGCTAAATTAATTTTATCGAATTATTAGATATTGTTGTTGATAAGTTTAGTGAGTTTACAATTTTATTTGAATGGTAATATTTATTCGAAGGTGACCGGAAATGGAGATGGAACGTCGACTTATTTTTTTTATCCCATTATTCAAAAATCTACTTTCGTTATTTTTCTTGCAAATTCAGTTACTTGATTCAGTTTTTTTTTATGAATATTGAAAAGAAATAGAAAAAGAAAAAAAGAAAAAAAATAGAGATTTTTTAGTTGTCTTTGAAAATTTAAATTTGGGGAAGAAGATGACTTGAAGGGGATAGGGGTGACCTTTCTTTTTAGAATTAAGAATTATTATTTTTTTAAAATATTAAAAAATTATTTTAATTTATTCAAATGCCAAGTGTCAATTAAAGACGAAAAAATGTAAGTTTTTTTGGAAAAAATAAAAATAAAACAGTATTTCAAAAACTTTCACGCGCCCATAGGAATGAAAAACACTTCTTTTGCCCTATCAGCATTTTGTATTTAATAGGTACAATTTTTGAACAATGTAAGTGTTCAATAGGTAATAGTCCTAGTTAAGGTGTCTAAATGAAATATGCAGAGAACTTTAAGGGACCGTGGATGACTTAAGCCATTTTAGTTTCTATGCACTTTTCTTTTTAATCTTCACAAAAATGTATTTTGATACAAATTCCTCTTCATTCTGTTGTGCTCAGCGAAAGAACTGCCTAATATCGTCACAAAAATGGATTTTGAACTAGAATTTATTTATTTATAATCCAATTTTGTGTCAAGTAAAAAATTGTAGACCAAAAAGGAGTGTTATTTGCTTGATTTTAGCGCTCCTTATACTTTGGGGTTCATTTGTACTACCATTGAAGGTGGGGTATGCGCTATTGGTTTTTTGCTTTTTAGAGTCATTTTGCTATTTATTGTTACCTTTCTTTTCATATCAAAATCACTTCAAATTGTACCACCTATTATGCTCCACTACAAATAAAGTGATTATAATTGCACTACCCAAGGCAAAACACTAAACTATAGAGTATGTTTTTTGTTTCTTTTTTATAAAAAATAATGACAACTTCAAATATTTTTAAAATTTATTATGTTAAATATATCATAATTATCTAACATTATTAAAGCCAAATAGAGTATCATAAGTAGGTACCATCCACTAGTAAAATTATTTCGTGAACTGTACTTGAACTACATAACTTTACATCCATCACTATCAAAAATCTATTAATTTATGAACTTGAAATGTGCCCTTTTCTTATGCTCATAGGTAGCTTTTCCTACTTTGTTGTGCTGTGGCAAGTTAACAGTAAGCACCAACTTTTGTTTGCTCTTTTTGACCAAAAAAAAAAAGAAGAAGAAAGAAACTATTGCTCTTATTGGACACACATTTAAAGGGAAAGTGACTGGTTAATTACCTTGAGTATGATGTAAAAGCAACGAAAGAAAATCTGCTAAAAAATCACCAACATCTATTAGTAACACTAACAGCTACCATAACAGGTGTGTAAATTAAACATGTGAACACTTCATTTTCCAGTAATGCAACTCCTCTTTGAAAGACAGTTTCGTGCTTGAGCTGCGTCATTGGCTGCACGTTAAAGTTGCTCCTCGTCATGAAGTTAAACGATTTTGTGGAACAAAGAACGGCAAGCTGCAGGAAATGAGTGCTAGGATTTGAGATGGAATTAGCAATCAGCATAAGGTAATGAGCAAAATTCCGTATGTAAAGCAGTCGCAAATTTGGCAACAGGGAACTTGTACTCGAATTGAAAAAATAGAAAATGAGGTGGAGGAAAGGGAATGTTGTTTCAGCTGTAACAAGATGAGATACTTAAAATGTAGAAAAACTAACAACAGAGAGAGAACGAGAGAGATGTAGTATTACCTGCATGAGAGAATAGATTTCAGCTATGGTTTTTGGTGTCCGTTGAAACGGCTTCAAGATATGATATAACAAGATCTGCTGCATTACATCCAGAAGATAGTGCTTTGCCAACTGACAATCCTCCCTTGTGGTTACCTACCATGGCAGAACTCATGTCAAAGTAGAGAAGCAATAATTTATTAGCTGGGATTTAAGTCGGTGGAAACTCAACTCAGCTTCAGCTTTCATGCCAAGCACATCAATGCTAAGTAGGCATATGCTAGGCTAAAGAATTCAACGAGTATATTTGGCTTTGAATCACACAGAGGTGATCTCAAACATAAGAATACAATATTTACTAAGCCAAAGATTACATGATACATGGCCTATAGTAGAGTATATTGCGAACCTTACTCGTTGAAAAGAAGCTGCATCTAGGGGAAGAAAAGAAGATATTTCAAGGAAAGAAAATTGAAATATTACCTGCATAGAATAATCCAGGAAGATTTTTCTCCATTTTGTCAATTGCATCGAGGACTGAATCATAGTTATGCCCATACAACGGAAATGCTTTACTCCAGCATACATGACTACAAGTAAAGAAATAACCAGCTTTTCAAAATCTCAAATTTTTAAAGCAAAACCTGCAGATGCTTGAATTAGATCAGCTATATACTAAGAATTCACGTACTTCACATATGTTGGCTCTCCCTCAGCACCCAACAACTGCTTAAGGTCAGAAGTTACTATCTCTTTCAGCTCAGTCCTATGTAAACAAGAATTTAACATTTTTATTTGACTGGAAAAGTCGACAGCAACATCATCGTTAAGTATAATAGGGACAAAGTAAAAGAGACTGCAATCAAATTGAAATTATAGAAACCTCGAGGCTTTCGCGAGTTCTCTATTTCGGCTTCCACCAACAAATGTAGTATAGAGATAGACATTGTTGGGTGCACGATCTGGAAACATCATAGAAGAGAAGAGGGTGCCTGCTTGCAGTGCAGAAGTAATAAGGGCACAACAGTTTCTAGCTACCTACACTTCTTAACATAATACCTAAGCATTACCTAATGTCTTCAGACCATGTTTTTGCTCCTCGGAAGGTACAAGCACTCCAAAACCCTCAAGAGGATGCTTTACACTCTCCTTCTTAAATGTGGTTATAACAACAGATAGTGGTACATAATCAACCTGCACATCGTATGCTCAGCTAGACTGCAACAGTGCCAATGAACATAACAGTTCATACACATATACACAGTACATAACATATAGCTTCAGACTTGACCCTTCATATAATAACTCTTCACAAGATACACTGACGGAAAATAGGGTTCCAGGTAGATATAGTGTTTGTGCAACTTTCTCCTCTTGGAACTGAGACCGACTTACTTTAAAAGTTCACTTGAATTAAAGCATTGACTGAGGAAATGAGTGCAATATCATGTGGAAAGACATTTTCGTTTGCTGGCATGAGGTTATTCTACAAAGCAAGAATGCCTATACTATACAAAACACCAAATGGCCATAGAAGCACAAACCTCAGGAATAAAGTTGAGCAGAAATGGATTTCCTCTCTTAGCAATCTTCATACCCTTAACGTCACAGAGAGGGGCCTAATTTACATAAGCATAGTCAATAACGGCAACATTTAACATCTGCACAGGACTCAGGTATTCAAGAGTCCGTCATTACAAGAATTGAACAATCACACGTCATGAGACTGAGACTGAATGAAACTAGTTGAATCAAAGCAAATACAAGGAATCAATCATTCCAGTATCTCACCGTCATAATTACAGCATCAAATGATTCTTCTTCTGCTTGCCGCTTGTGTGGTGAGGCAGAAAAAATTGACCAGCTATCTGTCGCAGAGTCCCCACTACAGCTACAAGATAATTCCAGAACTCTAGAGTTTAGCCTAAGTTCATCTTCTTTGAGATCATTGCATATTGCGTCAGTAAGTGTCTGCAAAACATTTGGATGAGATAACACTAGGATGAAAGATAACTAACAGAAATCACAGGTTCGAGTTTCTATAAGACGTAACTGATGCCAATAGTCGACTACACATTTATCTATCTCTCACTTAAAGAGATATAATCTATCATTAAGAATCATATTTTTCATGAGAAAAGAGAGAGAATGAGTCAAAGTAGTCGAGTTTGGTATATCATCCCTTACACCTACCTCATATGTTAGAAACTTAAATGTAAGAAATCACCCAGACAGGGACAAGATTTACAAGTCAGGTCTAGTGCATGAAGTTCATGCTGAAATATTAGACAAGTAATCCATGGAATCAAATATATGGCTGACCCTGAATGATATATGATGCATAAAAGATGTGGTCGTAATAATTTAAATTTTCTGCCCTTTACCTTCAATGCATGAAGAAAAGGAGAACAAAAGTATACTTACTTGCATTCCGCCCAAAAATGAAAAGGACCCCCGCTGGCGCTTCTTATTTACTGAAGTTTTGGGTGGTCCTTGTTTCTTTTCCTTTATAGGTGATAACTTGGATCGAATTGCCCCAACTATGACTGAGCCAAACCTAGCAAGTATTGACATCAAATTCCATAAGAGGGCTATTTGGATGATTTTATTTTTTTTGTAAGGAGTTTGCTCGACAAATTGCATCCTTTGTCAACAAGAAGTGTTTTACAGTAGCACCTCTGCAACTGTGGGACAAGGAAGCAAGGAGAATGATTGCCAACCCATGTGATGGCGGAAATTTGGACGTACATACCTTTTCTCTAAATTCCACAACTCTGGAAACGAAAGGTGCATCTGTGTCAGAAGGAAAGAAAACAATGAAATTGGAGTGACAGCCAGAATGACGCGTAAGATAACAAGTCATGACCTAAATCTATGGCTCATGAAATATACTAGCTACACACCAAGTTTACATTGTCCTCCCCAAGTTTACCCTTTTTACTTAATTGTAGGAGAAATTGTGTAACTATACAATGGCATATTGACCCCATTATCTTATCCTCTCTGAGATTTGTGTTAAAAAAATATAGGACGGACAAACAAGCGATATAGACGAATACTCACTGAAAGCGAGTCAGGATCACCACCACATGTTCCAGCAACAAAAGGATCAATTAGATAGTCAACAACCTAGCAGGTAACAAGAAAACATATGGATATTAGGTATTTAATTGAAGTTATTATATACAACGAGATTTTCTTTTGTAATGGAACATCAGAAGATTCGAGGTGCATAGAGGCAAAGTCAATCAAAGGTAAGCAAAAACCTCCTTTCCAAAATGACGCTGGAAGAATCCACTGACACTGCATATAATATGGATTGGTATGTCAATTAAACTTGCCCTTATGATTTATTTGGCAGTCGAAAGACTACTAGATTGACTAAGTTCAAAAGCATGCGAATATGATGCAGCTAGTAATAAAAATCACCATAAGAATATGTGTAGATTATGGAACAGACAATATGTCCATGCAGACACTATAGTGGTGATTGCTGTTATAAGCAACGGGAAGAGGCTAGATTTAAGGAGGGAATAAAAGAAAGCACATGGAAAGTACTAGCTCGGGTATAATATCTTGTACCTTTCGTGTTCGTCAGCCACCTTTGTAAGCTTTTTATTCTTCCACAAAAGTGGCTCGAAAAGCATCTGAAGCTGCAGTTATTAAGCTATCTTATAAGACAATATTCTTGAAAGTTAACCATCATTGCTCACGAAAGGATAGAAATAAATGAGACATAAGATGAAAAAGGAATATAAATATGGTATATATATTTTTATCAAGGTCTTCACTACACTATCCACTGTTAATAAATCCACTGTTAATAATCACTTCAAGTCTGATGTCATGACAAACATAGAATTCAAGTTGTTCTGGCTTTTGATAAGTTCTGACGTTCCTTTGACTCACCAAAAAGCTATAGACAATATTTGAACTCCAAAAGAACAATTTCCAAGGTTGTCTCCAAAGACCTAACTTCAGAAACCAATATTTTCGGAATATGATACTATATCCAGAAGTACAATGTCTAAATCACTTGGACCAACCACATATTTTCACTGATATTTGGGTCTACCTGTCAAAAATTCACCTAATCGGTTAAACCATTTTTCGAGATGATATGTATTTCAAGATATCATTCTCAAAAAAAATTAAAAAAATTCATGATATTTCCAAAAATTAAAGCCCCAAGTGTATTTGCCTCAAGAAACTGTTGATTGGTAGAAACAATCACCTAAATGTATACAGGCAAATTGCCAATTACAATTATTAAGCTTATGCAGGCAATTTATCATGTCTTTATCTCGAAATCACTATAAACCCTCAAACAGCAAGAAATTGCATTTTACAGACAGTTCTGAGGGAATCTGCAAAGAAGCTATATTGCTTAACAAGAGAAGTAAATTTTGGTACACAAATCTCGCTAAGCTATGGTAAAAATAAACTAATCATTCAAACTTCAAACAGGTTAACAACAAAACTTGAAGATAAGGAGATATAAGATTGCAATCCTGTTTGAACTTTGATGTTTCACTGACACTTTCCAAAGAAGCAAGTTGAAAGACTCAACATGAGTTTATGAAAATTTATATCTAAATCAGGAAGGTAGGATGACCCACATACCTTTGATCCAGTGGAAAGAAAATTGCTTTTGATCAGGTCAATTGGATTTGAAGGTATCTGGAATTAAAAACCCAGCTTAGAACATGACTAATTACAAAACTCCAAAAGCAGGAGAATGCAAGTAAAGCTGAACAGTGCAGAGAAACATGCAAGTTAATAAGCTTTCCATGGACAAAACTAACCAGAGTAGGAGTACCATTTCTGGCAATGTAGCGCTTGTTCTGTGAAAGTGGCTGCAGAGTGAAAGCATGGAGAAGCAGTTTTCAGTTAGAATCTCAGCTTAAAGTCTAAAGTCATCAAAATTTTCAAGACTTCTAAAGCTTATCCCATAGTTCAAAAATGAACCAAGGGCTTCTTTCAAAGGTTATAACACATAGTTAAAGCAGTAATCCTTACAAATTGTTGTTTTTCTCGGAGTCCAAGCGAATCAAGCAAAAATGTGACATCACCTTCACTTTCAGTCTGCATAAGGTCAAAAGATACTTGTTTACTAGTTTATCCAAATTGGAAACAATGCACAAAATTCAAAGGCAAATTAGGAATTAACATACCATAGTATTTGCGCCTTCATCCCATATTAGGCCATCTTGACTCAGGCTTCGTAACTTCCCTCCAGCTCTCCCTTCTGCTTCGAATACTGTGACATCCAAGCCATGAATTTTCAACTTGTATGCTGCAGCAAGTCCACTTGAATATTAAATAAGTTAGTGGCATCAACTTAAAAAGTAAAAAGGATCAAAAAGGAAAATGAAAATTGAAGCTTTACTAGCAAAATACTTGAACAGCAATATGATGATATGAGTAACAAACTTGCATTGTTAGCTATGATGGCGAAGAGAATTGGAAAATTAGGTAAAGTTAAACTGATATGATAAAACAATTGCAGAAGCTAAAGACACCTGACGCCAGCACCAATGACTGCAACTCTCTTGGGACAATCTACACAAAAAAATTGCGTCAATTTTGCTTGGGATATAGTGGAATTGTGGAGACTTACATGGGGATAGAGAAGATTACTTTGTTTATCTTCTCCGGCAGATGGAGCCATCGGAACCATCTGGGGAAAAGTGCAAAATTTGGGGAAAAGTGAAATTCCCAGCCAAGACAAGTCAAATACCTTATAAGACAATGTTCAATAGATGACATATGTATTGATGGATTTGGTTAGATTTTGAAATTTATCATTTGACTCCTAGATATGCTAAATCATTATAAAATCATTAAGATATTGATTGACACAAAAAAAAAAATCATTAAAAATTACTTATTAGAAATAAGGTAACAAATCAAATGAGTTCATAAATTGTATCTTGGTGGAAAGCAAACACTTTTTACATGATTGAATAAACTATAGCTTGAAGCAATAATAAATAAAAGTAGAAAACTAAACTCTAAGTTAAGCATTTTTTATACAAAATGATATAAATATAATTATTTAATTTATTATCAGATTATCGATTAACCGTAAAGAAAAAATATCAAACCGTTAAGAACCGATAACAAAAAAAAAAATGCTAAACCAATAACACACTATTGATAAATCAATAACTTTTTTTCGATTCGATTTAGAACTAACCCTACATTCAACTATACAAGATTATGTAACAAAATCATTGAACTTTATTTTATATTGATAAAGTAATTCAATTTAAAGATCTTTTTCTTATAAAATTACTCAATCAAATTCATCATAAAAATGCCCCACTTTATCCCCTTTCAACATTTTGGGTTTGAGAAACAATACTGGTTCACATTTGGAATGTGATAATAAGCACCCTTGATGTTAAATCAATTGTTAGAAATCAGTTGGATTATTGTATATATTTTTCGAAAGTAAAAACAGCCTTCAATTAATATGTACACTTTTAAATAGTTAAAAAAAATTATTGGCACATGAAAAATGTATTAGCCTTAACTCCACAGAAGTTATTTGAACATTCAGGTCTGGTCCAAGTTACATCAAGACATTTCAAGTGGCTGCAGTCATATTCGTTTGTACAAGGTTTAAAGATCAAGTTGTGTTGCTAGAAGCACCAATTCATGGTGTGGTGTGGCTCCAATGCTGACCGCGTTCGCGAACTACTAGAGAAGTAGATAACTTCTCATTCTGATTTTCTTCTTCTTTGCGTACAAGCAAAGCGCTATAAAACTTGTATGTCTGTCCTTGCACAAACACAGTGATCTCCGTGGTTGCTTCATTAAAACCTTTTGTTGCAAGAAAATAGAACCAACGATTACAATTTAACGTCCTTCTGCAATCTTGCTGTCCTTAAATCAGATGAAACAATGGGGAATCCTGCCTTGAAATAATGTGCAAGAAAAAACACTTGATTACAACTTAGATCCTGGTAAATGAATCCTTTTTAATTCTTTTCTCAATATCTTCCCAGATGGACTTTTTGGTATGGAGCTAACAAATGCCACCCGCCTTATCTTCTTATATGGAGCAACCTGCAACAAAATATATGCACAATTATGCACGCCAGTCGATTCTTATTTAGTTCAACTACAATGTGCCTTTATCGTCAATGCATTTCACTTTCATACATGAGATTTTTGAGCTAAAATGGTAGTCAAATTATTAGTCCCTTCGTTTCAATCCAAGTATCTTGTTTTTCTTTCTACTTTGTGTCAAAAAGAATGTGTCCGCAAGCTTCAAAAAAGTTTTTGTGTCTCGTCAACTAAAACACTTAAATTATAACGGAGGGAGTAGATTTTTATGACGGAGAACGAGAAATAGCTCAGAGCAAATAGTCAAAGGAAGCACCTGTTTTGAAATAAAATCAATCACTTGTTCTTTGTCAAGAGTGCTTTGGGGACGTCTCACAACAAACGCCATGGGCAATTGACCAGCTTCTTCATCAGGATATCTGCCACAATTTGTTCATAAAGATTCATTTCTTGCAGTGTACAAATGATATGTCTTAGCTTAGTTGTCTGAAAACGGAAATGTAAATCTTACGGTATGACAGCAGCATCTACTATTTCAGGGTGAGATTGAAGAAGGTGCTCTAGTTCAGCAGGAGCAACCTGAAAATCAAGAATGAATAAAGCAGGGATGGATTTCCAATGTAAGGTGCGTAAGAACTTAAAAGGTTACAAATGCAGGTAGCAATGGAACCTGGTATCCCTTATATTTGATTAGCTCCTTCAGCCTGTCTATGACAAAAAGGTACCCATGATGATTAATAAAACAGAGATCACCAGTCCTCAACCACCCACCTGGCATCAGAGTTTCAGAAGTGTTCTTCGGATCACCGATGTAACCTGAAAAAATATTACAGTATTGTTGATAATGAACTATGCCTCAATTCCAAACAAGTTGAATTCGAGCTTTCTGTTAAACATCATTCCGTCAAGTAATTGAAGTTACCTTGCATAATGGTTGGACCTTTGATCCAGAGCTCTCCTTGCTCACCAGGATGCAGACCAATACCAGTGTCTGGATCTACAATTTTTGCTTCAGTATTTGCCAGTAACCTTCCTACAGAACCCTGACGTAGCATTTCTTCAATAGTTCCAGCCCGAAATGCTGCTCCGGCCGTTTCAGTTAGTCCATATCCCTCAAATTCAAGACTCAAGTTCAGTTCAATGTTAGAAAAAAATAATTCCTTAGCTTAGCCAGAAACTGCTTTACATAAATCAGTTAAATATGAAGTAGTCCGTCCCTAGGACTTTGGTCTAGCTGTTAACCTCGCAGTTCATGATCTTAATATGTGGATTACAGACACACATCACGAGTCCGGACCCTGTTTGTTGCGGACAAAAATCTTGGGAATTTAATTGAAGAAGGGTAAAAGGATGGATTCATTATTCATTGTTCCTGAACCGTGCGAAACTGGCTCTCAAGTGTTTCTCGGATATCCCTTAGCTTAGCCAGAAACTGGTTTATATCAATCAGTTAAAAATATCAACTCGTCTGACTCAATGCTTCGGTCTAGTGCTAATGACACAGCTCGTAATGTGTAGATTAGACCCATTTCATGGAATTCTAACCTCGCAGCTAATAAAAAAACTCGTATTTAAGTGGAGAAGAATAAAGAAACGAGTTCATTATCCACAAGTTTTGATCTGTGGATCACTGGCTCTCAGATATTTCTCGACTATTAAAAAAGTTATCAACTTCCCCCTCAAGTGCTACACTAGTTACCAGCACATATGAATCATCAGTGCTACACTATATGAATCCTATGTGTCATTTATGCCTATACATTGTCATTTCAAAACTAATGGTTCATGTGATATCTATATCCTCCAACTTTGAGTGTGCACAGGTAGACAATTAAAGTTGTATAGAGTTGAACAAATAGACACACACGTCTTACTTGGTGTCGTACGTGACAATTCACATCCTACGTGACATCATATCATGCCACGTAAGACACATATACCTATTTATTCAACTTTATAAAAATTTAAGTGCAAAAGGAGGTTCATTGCGGAAAAAAGTTATATTATACATATATGGTCGTATATATATAAGACCTTGAATCTCTTTAACTCGTTTGCATATTTTACTTACTTGAAATAATATGATCTTTGGAAACTTGTCTGCAAATGCTTGCATAACGTCTTTCCTAAGTGAAGCTCCGCCGCTGCCAACGGCTTCTAATGAACTCAAATCATAGCCATGAGTAACACTTCCTTTAGCCATCGCCACCACAACCGGCGGAGCTACCACTAATTGTGTCACCCTGAAATCCTCTACCGTCTTCAACATTTTCTTCAAATCAAATCTCTCCAACACCACCACAGTCTCAGTTAAAGCTACCGATTTCAAAATGTAATGAAAACCAAACACATGAAACAACGGCACCGTATACAACATCACCGCCGGCGAATCCCTCTCCAGTCTCTGAGCATGGTAATTCGCAATACTTGCTATAAAATTCCGTTGAGTCAGCTTCACCCCCTTTACCTCCCCTGTAGTCCCCGACGAATACATAATCGCCGCCAAATCCGATTGATTCACTTCCACTGTTTCGAGCTTCAATCCAGTGTTCGTCATCATCAATTCGAACTCCAGCGAATCGATTAGAACAGTTGGGTGTTCCAATTTCGGAAGCTTCTGGAAGTTTCTCGATGTAGCAAACGCGATTACAGGTTTTGTTAACTTAATCTGTCGTAAAAGCTCAGATTCTGTGCTGAGAGGATTAGCAGGAGAGATTACAACACCGAGGGAGAGAAGAGAAAAGTATAGAATCGGAATATGAGTTGAGTTTGGAGAAAGAATAAAAGCGACGTCGTTTTTGGAAAGACGGAGTGTATTCTGAATGGAAGAAGCTAAGGAAACAACACGTTGCCGGAAATCGGAGAAGGAGATATGGCGACCGGTGGATGAGTCGATAAAGGCGGTGGTTTCAGTGTTGTGTTGGAGAGATAGTGCATAAGAAGCAGCGGAAAGAGGAGAAGACATTGGAGGAAGTAGGAGTGGTGGTCGGAGACTATGGAAAGTTTTGGTTTTTGAAGAGAATCCGCTATTTGGGTCGACGGAAGATGATGAACTTGAGTTGTCCATAGGAGGAAAGTAGTTGTGTTGCGGCAGCTCCGGCGATTTCACGGCGGAGACACCTTGTGTCGGAGTTGGAAGAGAGATTCCAACTAAATTGGTGGTTGTTACAGACGTACAGTCAAGTGTCCAGTATTTAAATTGTTTCTGGTAGCATATGTTTTGTTTTTGTTTTTTTCTGGAAAAAGTAATAGACGTGTTCAATTTTAATTGAAACTCTATAAGCGAGACGTGTTTAATTGTTTTGTATTTCTGGTAGCATATGTTTTTTTTGTTTTGTATGTCACATGAGTTGCATATCTCTGTTTAATTTGACAGATTTTTTTGTGCATTAGAATTTTAGGGCGAAAGACTAAATTGATAAGTTTTTAACATAAATAAAAGGACCTTTTCCATAAGCCTCATATATGAGGGACCAAATCAATCTAAGACTAGTGTCTTATTTTTTCATGTATATTACTAAATTACAATGATTTTTCTAAATTTGATCGAACTTCTATCGATAGAAAATTTAGATATTTCATAAAGGAAGTTAGGATCTGTCAATGCCTCCTCAATCGAGCTTATCACGTAAATTTGTCTTTATATATGATATATGAGTTATTATACAAATAAAT